ATTTTCGTTCAAATGTATTGATACTGTCCGTGCGTATGGATGATATTTATCTTATTCGTATATACGTATATACACAACCCCAGAACAATTGACTTGCGTATATTACAATCCGGAGAAACATAAGGTAGCAGATAGCCAATAATACACCAAGAATAATGTACGTGTATATATTGAATTGAATTCGATATTCAACAATAAACCAGTATGTTATGACTTGTGCATTAGTTAGACCAAAAATAGCAAGGAGAACAACACCCCACCTTCTTCTTCTTTCCTCCTGGCCTCCTCTGCAGCCGGGTCCATATCCATATCGTCCAGCAAATCGACTTCCACAGGTGCTGTATTTGTAGCCATCATGTCGTGCGCAACCTGAAGAACGTATGTTGCTGACAGTTCGATTTCGGATGTCTTTCGCTATATATTCTGTCTACAATCCCGATAGTGATCTTGTATTTACTTGTATCTTGTTGTTGATATGACCGCGACGTGCTCTGCATGTATAAAGGGACGAGCGTACTTCAGCCTGCCTGTAAATACACTAGTTGTACAGCCCTCAGGCCTGAGAAGCTTAGACCACACGGCGCAGGGCCGCAGGCTGAGAAATTAAAAAAAAGGACAGGACGTGTATTTTTTTTTTAAATATTCCCGCGAGCAACCTATTGGCCACTGAAAACTGGCCTGTTCGTGTTGCATAAAAGTGGCGCGCTTTTACTTTTACAAAGGTGAACCGTGAACTTGGGTCTTGGGTCTTGGAATATCCACAAATGTCTATTTTATATATATATATGAAAACAATAGCCTTCGTACTCTCTGGTAAAAGACGCCGACATTTGGCAAAAAGACATGTCAGACGTGTCGCACGATATTTTGTCCGACATATCGGTCGGCGACAGACTTAGTGCTGACCCAGACCCGACTGTCGCAACACCAAACGACATGTCAGACATGTCGCGGCGACATTTTTCTAATGGTATCTGTCGTTATCGGATAAATATTTATCAAGTTACCAATCCCGCTCATAAATACTTCAGTAAATATAAATATTTACAAAGCACACGGATTTCCGGCCGGCCTCATTCATAGGCTACGCCCTACATACTAATTAAATATGACTAAATGTAATACTAGAGTAGGGAACATCTCATTCTTTTTGTTTTGTTTTTTCTTGAAGAAAGACAAAGGGCTTTTTTCATAGCCTACTAACTAAAACACTTTTTTCTGGTTCTTATTTTTATAAAATTTATTTAAAAAATAATAGGTCTTTTTTCTTCGATTTATATATAAATATTTAATTTAGAGGGCTATTTATGTACAATTTTATTTCTATTTTTTTTTGGTATATGTTTTTTTTTAATCTTTCATGCACACGTGTGTTTTTATAAAAAAACACTACTGCACGTTTCAATTTAGAAGGCCATGATTTCTTACTACGATAATTTGAAGAACTATAGTTCCTGTTCTAATTGATATCTAAATAGCGTATACACATTACAAACTTGACACTAACAACATCGAAGCACTGTCAGTATTCATTTTCTGCCACAATGGTGCGTAAATTGAAATATCACGAACAAAAATTACTCAAGAAAGTTGACTTTGTACAGTGGAAATCTGATAATAATGTGCGAGAGGCCGAGGTGATCCGCAGATACCAACTTACAAAGCGCGACGACTATGTGAAATACAACAAGTTATGTGGTCACATCACAGCACTAACAACCCAATTAGCAAGCATGCCGGCAGATGATCCAGTCCGGCAAGATTTAACAGAGGCTTTAATTGAGAAATTATATAACATGGGCATCATAACAACCAAGAAGAGTTTGGCACAGACTGAGAAAATGACAGTATCGTCGTTTTGTAGACGACGACTTCCGGTGGTGCTGGTGAAAGTGAAGATGGCGCAAACAGTATGTATCGTCGCTCTATATTCAGAGTTGTTAAACTCAGTATCCATATGATGATAGTGAATACTTCTCCTAAATACTTCAATAATTGTGGTTAATATATATATATATATATATGTATGTATGTATGTATGTATATACGTATATGTATATGTATATGTATATGTGTATACAAATATATATGTGTGTGTGTGTTTGTGTGTGTATTTATATGTATCTATATGTATATATACATATATAAATATATATACACGTCCATACACACATGCATACATATATATATATATATATATATATATATATATATATATATATATATATATACTNTTACATCGACTACTAACCTTAACTAACCCTTAACTAACTT